CTTTGTTTTTGTGATCCTGGATGATAGAACTGTTTTGGCAGCCTTCCATCAATCTGGACTTGCAACTGCATTTGTATGCAAATCGGTACAACTTATTCCATCCTAACGTGGCCTCTGTATCTAGCAAAACTTTTGTTCAAAACACATTTAGCTGAGGCGGTGGAGTCCACTGTGTTAAAGTGGCTGCAAAACTGACACTGTACAACCGATACACAAAATACCAAAGTTCGTAAGCAGACGCTGACCTCAACACAACCTACTGATTTGACACTTGTGAAGTTTGGTGAAACCTGTGCTGCTCTGACTTTCACTTTTTTGGTTGTCAAGAGCTTTTAATGCACATTTCTGGTCTAGTGCTCATGACCAACGTGCAAATTAACCAAAAAGAACATTTGTTAAGTCAAAATTTAAAAAAATTCTACTTTTATTAACATCCTACATCTATCGCTCATCGGTGATCGTCAGGGTTTCTGAGATCACCTATGAAGATATTTTAATAGCACTGCAGTCTCACATAGAGGCCTCTCGTGAAAAACGTAGCATAAAGACAGGAGTATCTAGGTGTGGAATCTCATCCATACTGCTCTGTAAGCAGACACTTCTCCACATGTCTGATCAGAGCTTTGAGAAAAAGATTACTAGATTTTAATCACAAGGACATGAGAAAAGCTCCATCTTGTTTCACAGCACCGAGCACTTCCAGTATCATTAGCCCTTTTTACAAAACAATGCCGTCAATTTGCCGCAACGCCGTGGCGGCATCAGGGACCCTAAAGGTCGTTTATAAGATCAGACCGTGGCGGTAATGTGGCGCAATCGTGGAAATTTTATAAAAGATTAGGTGATGGCGGCATAAAGGGGGTATGGGGGCGGTCTCTGCGCTGCTGCAGACTTCCGTTTATCTTGGACATAACTTGATTTTTATTGCGATTGAAGCCGTGATCGTTAAGTTTTATTTAACAAGCAGCTCCTAAAGGTGTCTGTCCCCATCAGTCCCTGTGCAGACTCTGGTGATCTGGGCTTCAGCTCTAACAGAGAGGCTCGTGGAGCGCTGCGGCGCTCCAGTTTGCCATCTCAGCTAATTTTATTCAAAAAGCAAACCTTATTGCCTGTGTTTACTTTCATTTTCAATAAAATTGCCAGCCGGAGCTCAGCAATAACTCCCCACGTCATCATGACGTCTGCCTCTGTTGCGCCAGGGCGCATACGACAGACCATTACCGCAATATTACTACCACGCAAGGCGAAACGAATGCCGCAAAATTTGCGCAATGCCATGCCGGCATGACGCGTTTATATACATACCATTGCAGTAATACTACGCCGATTTGCCGGCATGGTGTGTCTTGTAAAAAGGGCTAATGAGTCTTTATTACAGGATATATAGACATACATTCATGTACATACAAAAGCTTATCAGAACATCCACAAAGGGAGGATCAATAAAGTCATTCACCATGAAGATTTAAGGGTGCAGCAGAAAGCGTATCAGCCGTTTTAACGGGGATTCACCATTTTCTTCAAATAAAGCTTCAACACAATATGCACAATGTACAGTAATATTTACAGCTTGACAGAAAATGACATACCATCAAAACAAAAAAGCTATTACTCTAATGCAAGCATGAGAACTAAAGATTTACATGTTTTAATGGGCTGCCTGAATGTTCTTTGCTCCCAAAAACACTGCTATAACACTGAACACTAGGGGTGTGTATTTGCAAGAATCTGGCCATACAATATTTTGATTTGTATCTCGATACAGGGAGACCATGTGATATATTATTTAAAAAGCCAGATGATTTCTGCAATTTAGTAAACTGAATTAATTGGAAAACTAAGGTCAAACTCTTGCAAAACACCAGTGTTATCGCAAGATCACATTGGTCCGTCAAAGTGAAGGCTGTAAAAACTGCTGCCACCTGCAGGGACAGCAGTAGCTCAGGCGGCAGAGCGGGTTGTCCAGTAGTTGAAAGGTTGCAGGTTCAATCCTGGCTCGAACCAGAGAATGCCGCTGTTGTGTCCCTGGGCAAGACACAACCTTTTCCTGCTGGTGACGGTGGGAGGGGCCGGTGGCTCCAGTGTTTGGCAGCCTCGCCTCTGTCAGTGTGCCCCAGGGCAGCTGTGGCCGTGCCGACGCTAATGTGTAAGTGTCTTAAGAAGGCCATGGGTCACTGCCTGGCAGCTGCATTGCCCCTGGGCGGGTCTGGGTGGGGGCCTGGGGGCTCGGGGTGTGGGGGTGGCCGGCCCCGTGTGGGGATCTGGGCGGGGCCTTGGGGGTCGGGTCCTGACATGTATGCTGCCGGGAAGAAGGCAGGAACATGCAGCAGTGCCTGGCCCCAGGTTCAGGGGCCTCGGGTAGACCTTGGCTCCTCTGCTGTCTCATCACAGGGGAGGGGGAGGTCCAGGAGGGGGAGGACCCAACCTTACCTGAATGTCCTATGTCTTATATATTCTGGAAGTTGTGCAAATGCAGGGATGGGCATAGGTATTCTGCTGGGGTGGGGCTGGGTTGGTGCCCTCGGACTCCGTGAGGCTCTGCAATGCTGCTGCTTTGGGCCCTGGCAAGATGGGCTGGGGTCTCCATGCCCTGGGTGGCATTTTGGCAACAGAGGTGCCTATTGGGGCCAGTGGGGGAACTGGCTCCCTGGAGGGCTAAGCCCAACCAGCCATTCCTCCCCGTCCCCGCATATTTTTTCTCCTGCTGCTCCCTCACATCATCACACAAACATGCACATAGGACCTTGGGGGGTGGACATGTCAGGGAGTGCGGGTATGGACCCCATTTCCGCATTCCTGTGGCAACCTGCCCCCCAATTTTATTTGAACCTTAAACACTTCCACCAACGACATTCCACGCAAACACACACTTAGGACCTTGGGAGTGAACACATTCAACGGCATTTGGCAGGGGGATATTTCAGCCTCCTCCCGAGTGTCGGTGCCCACTTCCAATTTTAAACTGCACTTAGACACCGAGGGCTGTGGGTGCAAGTGGGGTGGTGCGGTGGCATCAGCTGGCATAGGCCAGACGATGCCCGCACTGCCCGCTCACCACAGCCATGGAATACACCTCATCAACACACAACACTATATTGGAGCAGGCGGAGGTAGACTCGGGGTCTTAGTACACCTCTGTTGTTGCTTGGCTTCCTGGGGCTGGAGGCTAGGAGGGAGATCTGGCTGTCTGGTTGGGTTCTGGGGTGGTGGGTTGCTGTGCTCAGCGTTGGGCGGGGGAACCTGCTCATCAGCACCCCAGCAGAAAGGGTTGAACTCTGGGAACCGGTGATGGTTGTACCCCATGTGCAGCAGTACCGGGACCAGAGTGAACAGGGTGGGTATGGGGAGCATGAGTGGGTGTCTGGCGTGCATTTTTGTAAGTCTTTGGTTGTATGTGCATGTGTGAGCATGAGGGAGGCAGTGTGTGACTGTGTTTGTGTATGACTGGTTATGTCAGGTGGGGCCATTGACTCCTCTCTTCTCCTGGGACTTCTTTTGATGATATAGATCTTCGTCTCCCCTCTCCCTGCCACACCTGGTGTGGAGCGTGGTGCCTTGGTCTGCCTGAGTGTTCGTGGCTCCCGGGTCAGGGGGTTTAAGATTTTTGGTGTCTGCCTGATCAATCCCGGTGGCGGCCTGGTGGGGTCTGGGTCCCTGGGCTCTGCTGGGTCCCCGGCAGGGGTGGTCGCCCCTGGGTCCCGGGCTCGGCCGGCTAGGGGGTGGGAGGCTGCGGGTGGGCCTGTAGGCTTGCTGTTGATATCTCCCGGGACTCTGCCGGCTGCTGGTTGTGGCCCCCTGGAGCGATCCTAACCCTAATCCTAACCCTTACCACCTAGCAGTCGGGAGTGAAATTGTACCAAAATAAATAAAATAGTTACATTTAATTTCGGTATAGCACAAAATAGTTCGATATTTTAGCGCATCGACATTATCTTACATACCTACTGAACGCTGGCACATTTTCCAAACATTGATTTACCGTAACTCAGCAATGTTTGTTCCATCAGGAAAATAAATCTAACTGTTTCTGATAGAAGTGAAATTGCACTTTCAAGTCAGCGTAGTGGTTGCGATAATTCCCTTTCCACCGCTTCAGGAAGCCAGTAAATCAGCCCTTTTGTCCCTTCCTCTCTCACATAAGCGATGTAAGGAGAAGAAAATAAGCGACAGGAAAAAAAGCAGAGAGCAGCCATCAAAATATTGAGCGCAGCAGCGCAACGAAAGTAAAAGAGAACTGTAAAAATGGCCAAATGTGTTGCTGCGTCAGCTCAATTAGTGGTCACTCGCTGCTACTGTCGCAACACTTTTAATTTGGGGAAAACTCTTAACGTATAAAGAAGTGGCCACGAGAAACACTGCAAAAGGATCCAGCTTTGACATTCGCATAATGATAACTCAATCAGAAAACGACGAATCACTCAGCCCTAGTTCCAATTCTTTGGTATGCTCTTGCTGTACGTCTAGTTCCAATTTTTGTAAAAAGTTCTTCTCAAACAATCCAAGTAACTGTCAGGGTTGTTGTTTTTTTCTCTCTGGTTCACAATCAACTTGCATTCATCAGTTGATTTGAAATTCAAAACAACAAAAAAAGACAATTCTAAAGTCCCGCTGTGGGTTTCACTGTGTGCTGGCTTCTGCCGGGTCAGATGAGAGTACATCATAGAAGCCCCCCCAGGTGTACAAACCCAGTAGATCAATAGACACAAGAGGGGAAATCAACACTGCTTGTTTAAAGGGTGCGTCCAAGCCAACACTAAGCCCCAGGGCATCTAGAATGAGTACTTAGTATTCATGCGGAGAAACACAAGGAAATGGATATCCAGCTCTGAAATGAGTTTGTCTATCAGTGGAAGCAGGGAGAGGGATGTGGAGTGTAGAAACAGCCACTTTGGTTAGCTTCATGTAGAACTATTACCTAATTCAAGACAGTTGATTAGAGGAAATCAGGCCAATTCTCACATGGGGGATGCACACAGAGAGGATGAGTGATTTGTTCCTACCTTTTTACCGATAAGCTTCTTCCTCAGGAACTCACGGGCCTCGAACATGTAGGGGATGTCATAGAGAGGACGGAATCGTTTATCTTTGTCCTTGTTCTTCTCCTGAATACAGATGGAGGTGGGATGGCACAGAAATTGGGAAGGTGGGTCAAACGGATTGGGGTGGGATTGTGCAGGAAGAGGAGAAAAGGGAAGGATGAAAAAAGAGGCAGAAAGTTATTCACTTTGTACTTTTGAAAGTTTGATTATCTTTCAGAAAAAAACATTCATATTAATGGGGAATGGAGACTAAACCAAGTGAATAGCAGCATCACACACAAAACTTGCATTTTCAAAAAAAAAGCAGAGGTTCACTGTTGCTCCAAAAGCGTGTAGACAAACAAATACACCGGTATCTTTTGCTGGGGCGCTTCTTTAGAAAAGCACAATGACACGGTAGAAAAATACGCTGCAAGCTCTCACGGGAAGAACAGGGCTATGGGTGACATCACCGGCCCTCCCACACTCCTCTCAGAACGCCATCACTACCTGTCGTACAAACGGCCTCCAAAATGCACACACAAGCTGGGATTAATTCCTCTTTTCCCCCTTCTTCTTAATGGTTTTCATTCATTTTTAATGAGTGGTTCAGAGGTGCCAGGTGTGGCACACGGCGAAGCAGATCGATATTGGGGAGAGGCACGAGGACAAAAAGGACGTCTGAAATTAGGGCTCAATCGAGGGAGACTAGATTAAGTTTTTGGGAGGCTAAACGTTCAAAAAGGAAAAAATAATATCCTGAAGTTGCAACTGAAGTAATCTAGTCAGAAAATTTTTGATTGATTTTAGTCGTACCAAATCTCTCAAATAGAAGAATTGTGTTATTGGCTTTGGTTGGATTTAATAACTTTTGAGTTAAATAGGTTTTCTGTTTCTTTCCTTATGAAGTTACTTCCTGCCGGTCCTCTTTCACAACCCGAGTCAGCAAAATGTTCAATCTCCGAGCAGACCGCACACATTTCCAGCAGCAGTCCCTCAATGCCGAGCCAACAATGGATTCTTAGGATCCCTTTATCTCTCATCCACCAAGTCAGTTGGAGTCATCTCCACTTTGGCCCGAGTGGCCGACTCAGTGACTGTCTTCCTTTAATGAAAACAACTAGCATCATTTGGACTAAATACACTATTTTTTCCCACGACTTCCAAATACAAGAATTGAGCTTTTATTATGTAAAGTCTACTCGTGTAAACGCGGTTAGGATTCAGATCAACAGGACAAAACAGAACTATTTTCAGAAAGGGGGAAGAAAAGGATAACCAAAGAGGTGTGGGAAAAATGATTTCTAACTAATAAGCTGTGGAAAGGCAGCCATGTCACTGTGGGGAAAGAGTGTAAATGTCAGAGCTGTATGCCAATTAGACACTAGGAGAGGAGAAAATAAATCACGTCTCTGTAGTGTGCACAAGCCAGAAAGTGACAGAAGCAAGGGTGAAAATTAAAAAATAAAACAAGGCTGCCACTAAGAATTTAGATGGTCAGAAAGTCCGCGTTGCTAACTGAAGCAGATCATGTTTCACAATGAGCATGGTGAAAGACTGTTCCGTAGTCATGGGCAATTCAAATCATTACAAAATAAAAAGGCTTTTGTGCAATAATAGTTCAAGAAAAAAAACACTGACAAGTGTAATTATTAGATTATGAAGCTTTATTCACCAGACAAAATGGCATCGGCTTCATTAAATCCCTCCAACCAGACAAACTCATCATCCATAAAGTGATATTACGCTGCAGCAGAGAGGGTACAGACCGAGGAGACTAGCTGCTACGTCTCAGCTGTAACCCAATCACAACAGTTTGCACTCGCTATCCTCGGGGGGAGTTCTGTTCTATTTGGGGTGAATTTCCTTCATTCTAAATTACCCACTAAAGCTCAGGAATCGTCTGTGACTACTGCAGAGGCATGGTGCATGCTGGAGTGTACAGTGTCGCAGGGCTGCAGGCTCCGAGCCGAAAACGTGGAGACGCTACTTCTGCCTGGAAGCATTTTCAACTTCTAGAACATCGAGGGAGAAACCATGACTCAGGAGAACGTCATGTTTTCTGATGCAGGGAAGGGAGTGTACAGTAATGGGCATCCGTTTAACATTTTACGGATTGAGTGGAGTGGAGTTTAGTGCAGAACCTCTCCTTTGGGGGAAATGCTCTGCTGCGTGCATGTGTCTTAGACAATGAGGACATTTATTTTTGATAAACTGATGCTCTGGGAGCCTTAGACAAACAGTCAGTGTTTACTATTATATGTCTAACAACAGGATTCAAACGTCCATGCATAAAGATTAAATGGCTTCTGAGTTTTGGGGCAGAGGGAAAGAGATGGCACAAGAAAGATATCCAGCCCAGGAGGATCATGCTAGTTGTGGTTTAGAAGAGAAAAACTTAATAGAAGGAATTATTTAGATCATTATTAAGGAGACTTGAAGTGATTTCACAGGAGATTTTGTGGCAGGAGATAAATATCAGGACTGGGAATCGCAGCAGTCGTATCATTAAGAAGCACATTAAACCAAATGTCAGCTAAAACACAACATTAGCTGCCTCAACAAGACAGGCAACACGATGCGTTTAATTCCTACATCAGGGATAGGCCATCCTGGTCCTGGAGTGCCACTATCCAGCATGTTTTAGCCCCAACACATCCAAATGAATGATGGACTCACCTGTTCACCAACTTACCGTCTGCAGAAGCCTGTCATTCACCTACTGATCAACTGAGTATATCAGGTGTGTTGGAACAGGGAAAAAACTAAAACATGCTGGAAAGGCGCACTCCAGAACCAGGACTGCTTACTGCTGTTCTAAATGAGACTGTCGGACCGACCCAGAAGAATAAAAAAAAAGGAAAAAGTCTTTTACTTGCTATATTTTTATACGATTTTCTGTTTATTTAAACCAAAATGAGCACCTTACCAATTATTTTTTATTTGTTTTATAACATGTCCATTGTAGAGAACAACAGATGAATTCTAAATTAAATATGATACATAATCCAAGAGCATATTTATTTGATCAAAAACCAAAAGTCATCGTTACTCTGAATGCCAACAAGTCACGGACTTAGTTGAAAAGTGAGCCTTAAGACTGAACTAGCCAAAAAGCGAACCACAGCTCTTCCTTTTTGTCATTTAGTGATGATGATCCTTGAAGTAAGTTCTCTTTTTAGTAAAGCAATGCACCTCACGCATGTTTTGCCACTCCAGCCCTTCCTCCTCCATCTTTCTGCAGGCTTGATGTCCATCATCAATGACATGTGCCTGGCTCCATCTGTGCACCAAAGCTTTAAATACACTAAAATGGTCCTAGTGTTTACCACAACAGGCATTTTTAGAAGCACCGTTACATCAAAAGATAAATCATTCAACTGTTTTTATAAGTAAAATTCAAATAGCTTTTTTCATGTTAAGAAGAATATAAATGATTATTTTAGTAAAAATAGCAAAAGTTGAAGACTATTTTACTTACTTATCCTCTTTCCATAAAATGCTGTTGCTGGTGAGCCAGCCATATTGACTGAGGAACAAAAGGGACTTCCCAGCATGTGAACATATCAAATGACACATCACTGGAAGACCCAGGATGTTCTCTAAAGAGCACTGTAGTGCTAAACAGGGTCACTCAAGAGTGAAAGGAGTCAAAGGTGAACAAAATGGTGAACCACTCCCCCAGGGGATAGGTCAGAGGGTGGAGAAATAATTTCACCTGTGTGTGACGACTAATGGGACTTTAACTTACACACCGTATTACCATTAAAGCTGCTACAGCGACTCTACAGAACAAGCTAGTTTTTGAACGCAAACATGGCCACTAACCCTTCCCTTAGGTATCTCCCCTGAGAAGCAGCTGCCAGAACCAGAAACTCTCATTACCAGAAGAAACAAGAGAGTGCAAAACACCAGTCGCCACTTTCTAGAATCAGACCTATTTGGTTATCTGTGACTTCAAATTGTGCTTTTTTGGGGGGGGGGGGGGGGGGGGCTCTGGTAGTTTGTCCTAAAGTTGAAGTGGTAGCAGCCAGGTGTTTCTCATTTTCAGATATTAAGCCACAAACATCTCACAGCAGTGGTGTTCTGTTGCAAAATACGCAAGTGCATAATGAATGGAGGACCCAGGAAAGTGTGGAAATGTGGCAAGACAGACAACCAGATGGTCCAATGGTTGCTTATGTTATTGGCAGAGGTTTTTAGACAAATGCGAGAACCAGGTTTTGTTTTTTTCTTTTTTTTAAATCTCCACAATAGATTGTTGAAAAAAATTTTAAGCTAATTTGTTTTCCAAATTAGCTTTTGCAGCTTAAACGCAGCTGCCTGTTAAAATGCCTCTCCACTATTAAAGACTGAAAGATCAATCATCTCAGACAGCAAGCAAGGATTGTGGACTTCGTTATTTATCAGGTGAAAATTAAACACCAGGCTTACAGAAGCTACTTCATCATATCAACCCTTCATTAAAATAAAAAATAAATGCATTTGAGTTAAGATCCATAGTAAATCAGCTCTAAATGAAGAAATCTAGTAGGAGAGTTTACTCATCCTGTAATCTGGTTTTCTACTGCATCACTCATGGATTTCTTTTCTTTGCCTTATTTTAAATATTTCTCAAATGCTCAAAATTCAAACATACGATTGTTTTTCTGTCTCACAATCCAATATCAACTCGGATCTAATTCTATTGCAGCCAATTGTATATTGTTCTCTCGTACACTCACACAAACAAAAGAGCAACCAACGTCTCTGCTATTTCTACACTGACTAACAAACAGGGACATCCTGCCAAAGACATATTCACTCAGTAGTGAGGAAGGAAAAGCGACTACCGATCTGCACACCGGTGAATCACAAGATGGGCAACGATCCACTGCAGTCTTCGTGCACTAAACCTTAAAGGATGTTTTGGCTAACAGAAGGGATGCTCTGAGCCCTCAGCTTCAGATTTATAGTTTATTATTGATGAAATAATAACGATGTGTGTGTGTGTGTGTGGGGGGGGGGTCCTATGTATTTTTGAAAGGATGATGAAATGTTGACACAAACCTAACATCTTTATGTTTATGTTTATTTATTTGGCA